AAAAATCCCGGAACCGCCGCCTTGTGCCTGCTGGGGTAAACTACCAAACCTCGACAAACCGCCATCCTTTTCTTCTACAGCGAGTTTAGTGGGGGCAACCACAACAACCCAGTTTTGAATGATATTCCTGCAAAAACAGAGCCGCTGAGAGCGAGTTCCGACTTTTGATCGCTAGCTGTAAAAGTGAGCCATAGGTGTAAAGAGCCTTGAAGGCGGGTGGGGACTCTTTGTCGGCGAGTACTAGGATGGCAACAAAAGCAGCCAGTAAGACACGCGTAGTTCGGGTGGAGGCGCTCGGATTGGTGGAGGTGCGCTCGAGCAGTGGGCCGCTCTCGCGAACAGCGCAGCTCGTCCCGTCCAAAGCAGAGCTCCAAGATGAGCAGCGAATTGACCACCAGCAAACGAAACGCCATCCTTTGTGAGGTTCTTCGGGGTCGCATTTCCAGAGACGGGAAGTGCCAGCCGAGAAAGCGGGTCCAAGTGCCGTGAGTCGATTACAGAGAAACCCCGCGCTAGAGCAAATTCCCGCTCTCGCAGTCCCGGTCCACCAACAGGCCTCGTCCGTCAAAGAGTGGAGAGAGCGAGCCTCTGCCCGCCCGCGGCAGCCGCATCGACATCTTCCGGCCGCACGCTGAGCAAGCAAGGAGAGCGCTCTGGACGAAGAAGCAGAGGAAGGAAAGAGGAAGGAGGATAGAGGATGGAGATGCACAGAGGAAGAACTGTGAAGTGTGTGTCGTAGTGTGCATGTGGCGTGCGTCACGTGCCCCTGGCTTCGCGAGTGCGTGCTTAATAAGCATATTCTTCGTCGCTTAACGCCCCTGTCTGCACGGTCGATCTTAAGCCACGCCTCCTTATGCTGAAATCTGGATCCAGGTATTCTGTTCTAGAATCAGCATTGTCCATAATTCCGGCCCGTCTTCGGGATTTCCCGGCCCGTCTTCGGGATTTCCCGGTCAAACCCGAGTGTACAGTCACCCAAACTTGCCTTCACTTTCCCAGGAGAAATAGTTATAGATCATTTGTGAATGCGTTGGGCAGTGTGTGTCTGTACTGTGTGGTTCTGAAGTTATCTGTGATTAAAAAAAACTTATTTTTAAAATGTCACTGATAGTAAGCCCTCTGCATCCTGTTCATAATCAGGACTACTGCCAGCATGTTGTTAGTCAGTTCATAATCACGTTTGTCCCAGAGGACTTTACATCTTTCCATAGGTTGTGCTATTTAAATGGAGGAATTAAAGCCTAATTCTTGCACACAAATAGCACATTTATCTGAAATTAATACACAGTGCATAAGCATTACACATTTGTGCACTTGAAGTGCTCTTAAAATTAAATATCGTCCCTATAGATGTAATTTAAAGCAAGCAATTGTGCAAACAGAAGTACACAGGCAATTAATATTGTGCATGCACAAATAAACAACAGGCCTAATAAACATTTTATCCAATGTGTAAGACAAACTGTAGCAGTAGGAACTGAAGTCACAGGTTGTTGTGGGTCAATTAGGGAGGAGCACACAGAGTTTTGGCAGCACTAGCAGCTGTGTTTGGCATTGAGTATCCACTGGATATTGTTTCAGCTGTACCAGTAAATTTGGCTGTTATAAAGTTTACATAATAGTTTTCAAAGCAAAGTGAACAGTGTTGGACAATGTATAATGTAATCCAAATAAGCTGCTTGTGTAGTCATTTTTAAAATACCCCTATTTTAAGCCTCGTCTGCTTCAGGATCTATGCCCTCCTACTAAATAGAAATCAATAACGGATTAAATCAAAATCAAATCAAGTTTATTTATATGGCACATTTAAAAATGCTGTACAAATTAATGTGCACAACACATCTGTAAAAAAAAAGGCCCATCAATAAAATACTATATATATATATAACAAATATGTGCACCAATGTAAAAACAGAGACAGAACAAGACAATATAAAATAAAAATACTAAAGCCCACTAAGAACAATCATAAGCCATAGAAAACATGTACTTCTTGAGTTTTGTCTTAAAATTGTCAAGGGAGTGGCAGCATTTGAATAAAAGCGCAGGGCATATCCAAAGCTTTGGATGATGGGAATGTTTTTGAAGTAGTCCCCCAACTCTGGGAGTGTGTCAGAGAAGGTTCAGCATTACATTCTCCCAATATTACCATAAAACATGGTTAGGTTACATTCTTTTGAAATCCCGCAGACAAAACAACACGTTAGAAATTTAACAAAAAAGAGATTTTTAAACTAATCTGGCTTGCCATGTAAATCCCCCAAAACCATATCCAGCTGAGATATATATCTGAGTATGTATTGTATGAATTCATTTGATACAAAGTCAAGAGGTAAACATTCACAAGAAACACTAGAGTCTCACATTAAAAACAAAACAACAGTTCTGATGCTTCCAGTCATCTTTAACCTCAAACTATTCGCCGTCTAAGCTACAGAGTAAAATGATATTACAGTGTGCAGAGTAAACTGGAATGGGTAATTGCATGTGTTGCTCTGCCGCCTTTTTCAATTTTTGTCCCTATTGACCTATACTTAACCTTGCCTATGTCCATTTTTAAATGTTGTTTTCATGCACTATCAAGGCTAAAATGATGCTTTTTATCAGAGCCTGTAAATATAGCGACAAGAACATCTGATAACCAACCAACAGACAGAACGAGGGAGAAAAAAATACAACTTGACAATGACACAGTCCTGCACTAAAAAGATTGCCATCCCACTCTGGTAAAATGAGGCCATTGTGATAGCTCTCCCCGGAGTGCTGTGCTCGAAATAAACTGGTATTACTATATTTAAAAACACATAACTCAAAAGCCCAGTGAATCAGCTTAAAAAGGTCACACCACTCAAGCTAAAAATGAAAGTTCTCCAACTTCAAGGATTTTTTGTTTTTGTCATTTAGTTTTTTCTAATTACCTGCAGCTTTTAGCATCTCTGAGTCTAATTTTAGTAGAAAGAAATGATTTGTTCACATGGAGTCACACTGTGTGCAGCTTCAATTGTAGATCAAGAATACTTTTAGTTGTTGATAACGGTTGTCAGATGAGTCACTTTCCTACTCACACACATGAAAAGGGCCTTTGTGTTGAGTAACGTGCATTCATCCATGAGCCTGTATTGTCAGATTGAGTGTGAGCACCACCACAGAAATACATATTTCCTCAGAATTAAAGCAAAGAGAGAAATTATGTGATTTTAGTGCCAGAAATTGAGGGCAAGTCTTGGTTTATCCATCCAGGAACAGCTTTGCCTGCCTGCCCTCCCTCTCTTTCTTATTCCTCTGCTCCAAGCCAAAAGAGTCAATTTTCTGTAACTTGTGGTTGTGTTTTATTTTAATGATCCACAAATTCTGTTCCCGGAGATGAGAGAAATCGGCATTAAAGAGCCAGAGATGTCTTGTTTTTCACTCGTGTAACGGGAAGGGAGAGGTGCTTAAAGCCCCTTTTGATGAATAATAGAAAATGTTTCATGGAGGTGGAGAGGAAAAGAGTTCCAGTGCGGCTCCAGTGGGAAAATAAGAAGCCCAATTGGAGAAGCAGTGGATGTGTAAATGAAAGAATTTGCAGAGTTTGTCTGTGTTGCTTCTGGGTGGTTTGGGGTGAATGTCGAAGGAGAGGCAATAACATGAGAGGGTAGGACGGGGTTGTTAGAGAGGGTTTCAAAGAGCCCAAAGAACAAGTTTCGTATTTCTCTAATCCGTATCTGAAAGGATGCCATGCAGAGGTAATCTCAGGAGAAACAATTTGGATATGTCACTAATAATCACATGTCAGTCAAGGCTTAAAGGTGTATGTGTCACAGGAGGGAGCAGCACCTATTCCTTTGGTTTGGTTGACTTGGTCAGATAATGTGTCACTGATTGGCAGTATCAATTTAGATGTGAAAATCTGACTACTATAATACTGTATGGCTCTTCACTAGGGCTGTTAGTTTAAAAAATCTAGAGTTAATGAATGAGAAGAAAAACCTAATTTGTTAATATAATGCAGTTATTCTGAAAAATGTTTTATTCATTCACTGTGACTGCCTCAGTGTGTGACGAGCAAACAGGTGACTCATCAGCCCAATTTCTCTCCCAGCTGCAGTATTTGATTGTTTAAAAGCCAGAAAACAGCTTCATTTCATTTACAATTTTCCATCTAAAATGATCTTGCTTATTACATCTCAGATTTTGGAATCAGGGTTATGTGTTCAGCCAGGCTCACAACTTTTCTCTGTTTCGTCTCAACAAAGAGAACAGCAATGCCGGATTTACTGTTACGGCAAATGTATAGTCTCAGTTTAAAAAAAAGAAAGCGCAGTAATATTCTGAAACAGCAGGGCACTGTAGTTTTTAGCAAATACAGAGTAAACAGGAGGAAATGTTGCATTTGTTGGGAACTATTTTCAGCTGCGGATTAATACACATTTGGGGCTCAAAGACAGAACATCAAGTTTTAATTAAATAGCTGTCTATCTAAACTACGTGTTGTAATTTAGCTATCTATAAAGCCACTAATTTCATTAGGAACTAAACAGGATTAAACCACTTCCTGTTTACATGCATCCAGTGCCACAACAAAGAAGGTGTATATGTTGTTACGTCTGGGGGGAGCTGCCACTGATTCCATTGACATGCATGAATTGAGATAAACCTCAGTAATCTCACCAGTCAACATAATTTCAAACAGCACACAGTTTCTCAAAAGGCATTCACAAGTCTGGAAAATATTACAGTTCCCCCCAATACCAAATCCCTTGAAAGTGTTTTCAGCACACTGTAAGTCATTTTTGGAAAGACTCTCTAAGGACTTCTAACTTGTTCATGTAAAGATTTCTTATAATTCAAATCTGAGCTTGAACCTTTTGAGGAATTATAGATTATCCTTATAGAACTCAGATTTACTACACGCTAAAAC